AGCTCGGGCGGATTCCAAAAGCTAAGGTCATAACCCTTGCTATTCCCCCATACAGAGAACATTCTAAGCAGAACTGATCTAGTTAATTTGGTGGTGAGGATCCCACATCTCCCACATTACTTCTGCAAATCCACAGAAAACTTCTGACTTTAACTGATTTCCAAAATCCTTTCCATGTAGCTCTAATATTCTATAAAAGTCAAAATTATATTACGTCACCTCCTTGGCTTTTTTATTTTCTGAGTATATATTTTTTAATTTTTTTGTTTACAAAATATAAGGGGGTAAAAATGTTTTTGTTACATAGATACCTTGTATAAAGCTTAAGTGAGGGCTTTTAGTGTGTTCTTCACCAAAATGGTGTTCATTATACCCAACGGGGTATAATGAAGATTCTTATCGAAGTTTTCATCCCTCACCTCCCCTCTCATCCCACCCCCCCAACTTGGTTTTCAATGTCCTTTATATCTCTTTGTGCCTGTGTGTACCCATCGTTTAGCTCCCACCTATTAGTGAGAACATAAGGTGTTTGGTTTTTCATTTCTGAGATACTTCACTTAGGATTGCGGTCTCCAGTTCCACCTAAGTTGCTGCGAACGTTGCGTCGGCTTTTCTACACGTGAATTTCACTCACCTGCAGTTTCTCCAATATATACTGACATACCTGAACTGCCCGTGACAGGTGAAATGTACCAGCAGACCAATGATGATGGTGTGCAGTTACATGATGCTGCTGCCTGCCAGCCTCTGACCACACGCCCAGAGTTCAGCTTCCTCCTCAGTTTTGTTGCTGAGCCAGATGTGATTGTTATCTTATGGCTCTCTCCTCTTCCTCTTTTTCATTCATCCTTGGGACCCTGCTCCTCAGGAACAGGCATGTTTTGGGAGGGGCTAGGCTGGGATCCAGAGGAGCGCATGGGTGGCAGCAGAGAAAGGGCACAAGGAGGCCCCCGATGGTGGGAGAAAGTCAGGTACACAGGCTGCTAGGGCTGGCAGGGCATGGGTGTTGTTGGCCCCAGTCTCGGTAGGACAGCGCTTCCTACTAGCAAACTTAAAAGAGGTGACTCTCCGTAGTTATTACTAGTGTCATTCTTCAAATTTAAAGATAAGATTGTGGTATGTTATTTGGGAAACCAAACGTACACATTTGATAACATGGAAGCTCTCTGTGAATAACTCTGTAAATTTAACTTCGATGGAATAATCCCATCTTTTTCTCTCACTTGCCACATTCTAGAGATCTCTACCTGACAGTTAAATATATTTCTAACTTCATTCTTTTTGTCAGCTTCACAGAATTCTATCATAAGACTATATCATGATATGTGGAATAAATGTACATTTAAGTAGCTTCTAATATACTGTTACAAACTAGTCAATGAAAATGCTTTCTGCACAAATGTCAATATCCTATATGAGGGATTTCTAGATCTGAAATACCAGTCAAAAGGCATGACATCTCTTCCCCTCAAGCGGCCTGAGGTGATTCGTGAAAACGGTTCACTATTCACTTGACCCAGAAAATCCCACAAAATCATGCAAGTCAAGAGGTTCAAATCTTCGTGTTCACTTCAAGAACACTCGTGAAACTGCCCAGGCCATCAAGGGCATGCAAATACAAAAAGCCACCAAGTATCTGAAAGATGTCACTTTAAAGAAACAATGTGTACCATTCCGACGTTACAATGGTGGAGTTGGTAGGTGTGCGCTGGCCAAACCGTGGGGCTGGACACAGGGTCGGTGGCCCAAGAAGAGTGCTGAATTTTTGCTGCACATGCTTAAAAATGCAGAGAGTAATGCTGAAGGTTTGGATGTAGATTCTCTGGTCATTGAGCATATCCAGTGAACAAGCACCCAAGATGCGTCGCCGAACTTACAGAGCTCATGGTCGGTAATCCATACATGAGCTCCCCTGCCACATCGAGATGATCCTCACTGAAAAGGAACAAATTGTTCCAAAACCAGAAGAGGAGGTTGCACAGAAGAAACTCAAGAAACAAAAACTTATGGCACGGGAATAGATGTAACATAAAATAAATGAAAATAACAGTAAAAAAAAAAAAAAGGCATGACAGCTGCTGCCTGACTTCTGTCCATAAACGACACACCAGCTTTGCAGGGTATCCCTACAAAGTGTGAGAATGCCTGACCTTCACACCCTTCCCAATCCTGGATTCTTATCTAACTTTTGTAATATGTGGACATTTGGATGAAAAAAAGGATATTCCTTTTCAACGTGCCAGCGAATACCAGCGAAATTTAGCATCTTCTCAGGTGTTTTTAGTTATTTGTACTGATTTTTTCTGTGAATTGCCTGTGCGTTTCTTTAACCATTTTTCCTACTGTCTTATTCAAATTGGTCTGTAGAAATACTATACATCATGGCTAATTAACAGTAGTCAATTCTTTATGTTAACATATTTTCTCCTAGTCCATTGCTTGTCATTTTGCTTTGCTTATGATATTTTCTTGCTGTAGAGACGTTAGTATTTTTTATGTAGTCAAATAAATAATTTATGCTTTCTGGGTTTTTTCCCCTTGCTTAGCCCCAAATTACAAAATAAATTTTCTATATTTTATTTCAATACTTTCATAGTTTTGTTTTTTATAATAACACTCTTATTCAATCTGGGTGTCCTGTGTCCCAGTTCCACTCTCTGTGTTTGTTTTGAATTGGAGTTGCTCCGGGTTTCTGTTGGGAACAATGACTCATTGCTGTAGTGCCTTCCCCAAGTGTGTTTTAGCTTAAGGTATCTTTTGTTCTGGTTTCTGGAAATAGGATCCATCTGCTTGCTAACTTCTAGGCAGCCCTCACTGGTAGTCTCTTTCTTATTTCTAGCATTATTATGCTTTTATTTGCATTTTTATATCGTCTTTTTCATGTCAAAGGAATTTTGGAAGAAAATTGGCTATAAATGCATATGCTCAGTCTGCCATCTGGAATGGAAGCATCTGTGTATATCTGTCCTCAGAAATAATTTTATAATAAAATACAAATATGTACATAACAGAAAATTTGGAAGACACAAAAGAAGCACAAAGAAAAAATTAAAATTAACCATGATTCTACTACTCAATAATAAAAAATGTTAAGATGGTGAATTCAATTCCAGTGTTTTTAATGCATGTAAATAAAATATTCATAGAAAACTAGTAATAGGATCACAGGCATATATTTAGTCTTGTACTATGTTTTTAAAACTCATATGTGAAGAACATTTTCCATATCTTTGAAAAACATGATTTTAAAAAATGGTTATAGAGTACTCCATCTGCATATACTTCTTTAAAATTAATGTTCCATTTATTTTTATTAATACACTTATTTCCTGAAAAGGTAACATGATTCAATGGAGTGAAAAGTCTCCTTCCCACCTGTGACTCCGAGTGACCTGGTTTCCCTCCTGAAGGCCACAGACAGTACCTGATTATTTGGTAAAGAAAGATAAAGTTGGAACTGGGTCAGAGGATATATACTTTCTAGCTCTTGATACATATTTGTTTTCCAGAAATGCATAATTTACACTACCCCCACATGAAGACATCCTCTTTTTAAAAAATATCTGTCAATTGGAAGTCAAGAAATGTTTTAATATGTATTTCTTTGGCTCAAAGGTCAAAGAAATCTCGAATAAGCTTAGATCACCTTTTCATATGTTTATTGGCAAATTGAGCATCTCTATCAGAGATTGTCCATTCTTATCCTTTGAGGAAAAGGTCCCTTTAGAAATCCTTTCTTAGCGCTCAGGACTATGGCCAGTCCGCTGAGTTCCCCCCACGTTGACTTGGGACCTCTGGCTCCTTCCGCTGTACCATCAGAGCAGCCCCAAGATGTACTCCCACATTTGGTTATTGGCGAGATTTCCAAAAGCTCTGGAGAATTCTTTCTTGAGGTCCACCCAGGACTTCTGACCAAAAAGAAGAGTGACAGCCCAGGATTCTGCTCAGAGAAGCCATGAAGATGACGGAAGGCTGGTGTCTTCCCATGCCCACCCATGTGAACCCTTGCAGGCAGGCTGCGCATCACCCAACTCTGTGCCTCAGTCCACTCTCCCTGCCCGGTGCCGCTCACGCCCACACCTTGGCCCATTCCTGCTCCTGTGCAGGCTGGTCGGCGCCCCTCTTCTGTGGCGGGAAGCACAAGGGGCGCATGTCTCCCGCCCGCACAGCACAGTGCCTACAGTTCCTGAATGTGCCTGCCCTGCCCCGTAGCAGCTCTGCGCTCCCCAGCCCTTCCCGGCAGTGCCCCGGGGCGAGGGCGCCGGCCTGAACCCGCACCCGCGCCCCCACGCCATTCCCGGCGCCGCCCACGCTGTCCCGCTGCCCCCGGAGCAGACACATCCTTAGCACCGGAACGGCAGTGCGCGCTCCCCTGCACCTGCTGTTCCAGACTTGCATGGCCTGCGTGTTTCTTCTCTCACCCAAATAAAGAACGAATGTGCAATCCCCGTGACCCAGATCTGTCCCAGGTGTACGCTGGCTCGGGCTGCTCTCCCGGAGCCTCCAACTTGTTCCTGTCCTGCCAGCTCTGGGATGAATCCCAAACCCAGCCTCGTCCTGATGCGCCGTTTTCGTTCAACATTCCACAATTCATTGTCATTTTGGCCCCTCATTCCACCCATCAAACTCCACCCTCCGTTATAAGCATCTCAGTGGGGATATGCTTATATTAGATCTTTCGCTAATTTTATTCATGAATAAGTCTTTTTTTTTTTCTTGGCAGATATATTGTTGCTGTATCTTCTGGATCTTTGTACACAGAGAGGATGTTTCACAAATACTGGTCGGGCTAGCGCGCCCTGTTGACTTCAACTCTGTTTGTTTCTCAACTTCATCTTTCCATAAACAGACTTCTCCCGGGCGCCCTCTCCCCGGGCCGCCAGCACGCCCGCCGCGGCGCCCGCCCGCGCCCGCGCCTCCGCGACAGACAGGCCGCCGATTCCGGATCGCAGGTGGCGGCGTCGGAGGCGGCCGCAGCACTCCTCACCTGTGCCCTGCAGTGCAGGCCCCAGAGGCGCGACCCGGCCCTGCCCGACCCTGCAACTGCGCTCCCCTTCTCTAACGCCAGGGTTCCCAGCCTCGGGCTCTGTTTGCAGACACCTGGGGAGCTTTTTAATGCTGATGATGGGACCCTCGCGACCCGAAATTCTTATTTAGTAATCCAGGCTGCAGCCTGGGCCTGGGAAACTTTAACCCTATGAGAAATCCTGGCGCGCACGTCCAGTCTCCACGACGGCGTTTCCAGCTTACCAAATCTGCCCCCGGGGACAGGAAGACACGCGCGGGCGAGTGGGCGGCCCCACCCCGCGCAGGGGCGGCAGCGCCGTCCCGCCCAAGGGCTCGGGCCCCAGCTGGCGCCCGGAATAAACACCTGAACCTCGCCGAGCTGCGAGCCAGGACGCGGTGCCTGGGGCGGACGAGGCCAGCTTCTCGGCGGGCAGCTGCGACAGCGTTTCCGGGGTGAGTTGCCCAGGTCGCCGGCTCCGAGGGCGGCTCCGGGAAGGTCGCCCCTGCCGCCGGCGCCCCTGCCAGGGCTGGGCGAGGCCGCGGGCGGGTCTAACGCGGGACGCGCGCTAGGGGCGCAGGTTGGCGAGCCCGAGAGAGCACCTCGCCTCCGGGGAGCACACGGCCGCCGGGTCCCCGAGGCGGCGGCAAACCCCTGCCCCACAAGGGGTGAGCTGCCAGCCCTTCTCTCCGCCCCGGGCAGAGGGCGGGATGCCTCCCGGGCCGTCTTCCTCGGTCCATTTGGCCCCTGTTCCCTGCTCTGCGGCTCAGTGCGCCCACCTCCCCACCCCACCGCCCCCAGTTCTCCCCTTTCCTCCCAAGCTGTGGTCGTCAGCCTGTCTGCCCACCCGCCCCTCCCTACCCGCTCCCGCACGAGCCTTTGCCCGGCGGACGGGCTGCGGGCCCTGGCCCGGGAAGCAGAGGGCGCCTGTTCACGCTGCACCCCAGCTAGCTCAGCTTTCGCACTCAGTGGGCCGTGGGACTTAGACACTAAAGAAGCCCTCGGCCGCGTGAAATTCAACACACCCCGTAACTTTCTGGGAAACAGTCTTTACAATAATATGGAGCCATGCATTCACTTTTGCTTGTAAGTATACTTACTATAACCATATTTCATTGGAATAGCCTGGGATCACTAATGCTTGTGCTAGCAGCAACACCTGCAATGCAGGGCAGAGTGGTGAGTGACGTGGAGCAGGTGGCGGGGTCTTCAGAGCCTGGGAAGGGATTTCTAGAACTGACGGCCAATCGGACGGGAAAGATTTAGAATATCTAGTTACTTCACTCCAGATACTTTATACAAATAGGATTTATATTTCCCTCTCCAATCTCAGATTTTAAATAGTAATGCAAAATTAAAGAACAGCAGTGCAAACCTAAATTAAGGAGAGAAAAATGAAGCCAGAGATGTAGCAGTTAGGTCATAAACATAATATAGTCAAAACTTTGAACATAAAAATTAGCCAGCAGAACTCGTGATTATTATGGAGAAAGGCTAACCGTGAGGAAACAGTGAACTTATCTTTTGGGTTGAATTTGGGCGAGGTGGTTACAGTTCCTGATGAACAAACATTTTTGTTGTGTACAGCACATGCAGCCATGCACATGTGCCAAGCTTGGGGCGAGGTAAGAGAGTTGGGCAAAAATTCAATCGCGGTGGGTTCCTCCCCCTTTCTGAGTTCAGAGTCTGTGGCCAGGAAAGCAGTTCAAAGCACACGTCTAGTTAACTTTATTTCAGAAAGCAAGAGCTCCAAGGACTATGAAAACTCAGAGGAAAGGGACAACTGTGTCTTTATATGAGTCTACCTTTCTTTATAGGTGTCATCCAGAACATGTCTTCCAACTGGCAGTCAGCAAAGAAATTGCTCATTTTCTTAGCAAAGTCGCTGCTCACTCTCCTGGAGGCCGTGGTCTTCACCCTGCTCCCCAAGCCGCGGAAGAGCGTTGCCGGCGAGGTAGTGCTGATCACAGGCGCGGGCAGCGGCCTCGGGAGGCTCTTGGCCTTGCGGTTTGCCCGCCTGGGATCTGTGCTTGTCCTCTGGGATGTCAATAGGGAAGGCAATGAGGAGACAAGCAAGATGGCTCAGGAAGCTGGAGCCACAAGAGTGCATGCCTATACCTGTGACTGCAGTCAAAGGGAAGAAGTATATAGAGTGGCCAATCAGGTAACTGTGGGTTCTTACTGTTAATCTTTGATATACATCAATTATTTGCTTTGTTCATTTGCCTTTCTCAGTGCCTGTGAGCCTATCTGCAATGTCCCTTTAATTTAAAAAATATTGTGGGGGAGTGGGAATTAGGATTTTTGAGGTCTTACTATACTCAAGATAGCGCTAAGTATCCTACATGTATTAAAACCCTATAAAGCCCATTATTATTACCATTTCACAAATAAGGAAACTAAGGCTGAGGGCAGGCATGTAGCTTACTTAAGAAACACAGCTAGTAAGGAGCAAAGCTACAGCTGACACTTGAGTCTCTTGACACCTGAGTACCTTCTCCTAACCACTAACTACACTGACTGTACTGGCCCCTGTTACAGTATAAGACTAGGGTAGGTGGAGGCAGCCCTCTTTGATGATAAAAGAAGTTGAGATTCAGAGATATTAAATAACCTGCCCAGGGTCACAGAGCTAGGGCATGACTCAGCCAGGATTTGAATTCGTATTTAGGCTGATTTTAAATCTAGGCTATATCCAGCTCACCACAATGCCTCACATTTGAGTATGTATTCCTCATAAGTGATCATAAGAAAATCAGAATCTTTCATTTATCCTATAGACTTTTAACCACATTTGCTTCTTTGATGACTGTACAGATGCTTATATAAAGAAAACTTCAGGAAACCAAAGCTCCAGTATGCCCACTGCAAGGATTTTCTTAGTTTGTAGAGGCACATACATGTCCCTCATAAGGATTTCTGTGCCCTCACCTTGGCCTGCATACTTCACACATGGCTCTCCTGACACTTTGTGGTTCCCAGAGCTTAGTGAGAAGGAAGAATCAGACAAGGCAGCCATGAGCAGCCCGATAGGTTGTAAAGTTCTTCCACAGTTTCCAGGCTCCATTGGTATCCCCCCACTAAGGTTGTAGGTCACTGGCCGGTGAGTTTTTGACTCTGAATCACAGGCTGCTCGGTACAGCCTGGAGATCCAAACCTGACAAGTCCACACAGTCTTTCGATGGGACCACCCTTCCAAATGCAGCTGAGCTGCAGTCTTTGCTACCACCCGCCCCACAACGTCAGCTGTTCATGTGTTAAGCACCAGTCACGTGGCATGGTGACTTACACTGACTGTGAACAACTTGTCTGGCGGGTCTTAAGCAATAACTGGTTCATATTCGAATACTGCAGATCATCACGTATGGGGCAAACTCGTAGGAAGCACTGTGAATAATTACCTCCTTCTTCCCTGTACCTGAGATTTAGTTCTGAGCTAGTGCTTGGCTTCAGAAATGGTCAAACATGTCATATTGCTAGCTTATTTTTGAACTTTTATCTCTTTGGGGTCTTTGAGAGAATTATTTATGTGCTCTTCTAAATTCAAGGGAAGCGAATAGTTCCCCATCCTTATAAACCAGCCATTTCCACTTTTTATTCTGAATAGAAGGAAAGTACCAGAGAATTTTTAAGAAGTATCCGTTAGACAAGTAATAAAGGAGAAAATTTTCAGAGCTGTAAGATAGTGTTTCCTCTCTGCCAGGTCCACATAACTTTGAAAGCTTGTGTCCTTCTATCATAGATAAGCCCCACGTTCAGAAAGTTTATCCTCAGAGAGAAGAAAACCAACCAATTAATAAAAAACAGACAGATTTTAATCTGTGCTGTGTGTTTAAAATACATACAGTCATTCACTGCATAATGACATTTTGATCAACAGACAGACCATGTATACTATGGTGGTGCCATAAGATTATTGCAGTATCTTTACTGTACTTTTTCTATGATAGATACACGTAGATACACAAATACTTATCAATCTGTTGCAATTGCCTACAATATTTAGTAGAGTAATGGTGCTGTACAGGTTTATATAGGATGGCTGTACCATGTAGCCAGTGTGTGTAATGGACTGTGCCATCTTGGTTCGTGCAAGTGCATTCTGTGATGTTCACGTGACAGTGAGATCACCTAATGATACATTTCTCAAAAGGTATCCCCATCATTAAAAGATACATGACTATATTTTCTTTCTTCCTCTGTTTGTTCCCTGTTCCACCTGCATCTCCATGTTGACTAGGTCTAGATCTATATGAAATTTGGCCATAATGAAGCTTTGTTCTGTCCCATCACATTGATTAAAATGATATGCCACTTACACAGAGCATAGAACAAAGTCAGTAATCACTGAGTCTAGGAACATCTCTAATAATAGAGGGAAAATAGCATTTCCACATTGGAACCATCTTAATAAGAGAGGAAGAAATGAGAAGAAAAGGATAAGAATTGGATCTCTAGTGTACTTTAGATTCAGAAAAGGAAATAAATTTTGTTTTTAGGGTGCATAAATTCAGTCTAAGTTAACAAAGATAAAAAATATATAAAACAGTGGGGAAATAAAACCTAGATCATATAAGGAATTACTACATTGGTGGTGGTGTTCTTGTTATTCAATTCAGGTTAAAAAAGAAGTTGGCGATGTTTCCATCCTAATCAACAATGCTGGAATCGTAACAGGCAAAAAGTTCCTCGACTGCCCAGATGAACTTATGGAAAAGTCATTCGATGTGAATTTCAAAGCACATTTATGGGTAATTATTGTTTCTTCTCATAATAAATGTAAAGTTATTCTGACATTTAGAAGTACTTTACTCCTGCTCTTCTTCAAATTAGCCTCTAAATCACAGATTTCTCAATTTTGGACTTGTCCTGGTCTAGCCAGTTGTCCTCTCCTGATCCCACTTAATTGACAGCTCTCATGACCTCGGCTCAAGGAATCCTACAAAGACAGAACTGTCCTCATGATCATACTACCATTTATTGATTGCTGTCAAATGTTGGGGTTTTCCCAGGCAGCTCACATATATTCCTTAAAACAGCTCAGTGAGATAAGGAGTCAGAATTTAAAAGATTTGCTCCAGGCTATATAGAGAATGACTGCACTTAGACATGACCAGGGTAACTGCATAATTTGCCTAAGCTGGTACACTTTTGAAAGGAAGCATTATTAATTAACAAGCATTAATCAGGTCTATTCTGGGCAAACCAAGACCTATGGTCACCTTAGTCAATACCCAAACCAAGACAGGAGAGGTTCTACCAGCAGCCCTGATGACCACATGCCACCAGTGCCAGGGGCACAGCCCTGACTTGTAAAGTGCTGCACTCAACTCCAGAAGTTTCATTTTCCTGGCTTTTGCTGAGACCAGCCATGGCAGGCCTCCCCTGCCATGCATGTGCCCTCTTGCTGCCTTTCCCAGCTTTTGACCCGTTTGGTTCCAGCTCTGCTCACACTTTCCATTCCCTGGGCAAGGCTCTCTCCTTCTGGGAGTATTTGCTGGAGACTGTGAGCACCCCCTTGCATTCTCCCTACACTTTCCCACCCAACTCTCCTTCGGCAGCCTTCAAGTGCGATTTGGAGCTTATAGGCTTCCTGTCCCCCACTTCCACCAAAAATGTAATGGTGCTGGTGGTATTCTTGGTGTTTTGTATGGTACTCGGGAGAAAAACAGAAAGATTCAGAACTTAGTGGCCACCATGTTCCTATACGAACTACCGTAAATGGTTTCCCTTATTCTAAATGTCTCCCTCCTTTGTGTTCATACTCAATATGTAGTTAGAAGGAAGAAGACCATGATCCCTGTGGAAGTCTTCACCCAATGGCTGTGTGTTCTTGTCCTATCTCCCTGTTTTCCCCCAGTCTCCTTCATGGTCTCCTCTGCCTCTCTTTCTCTCTCTCTCTGCCTCTAGCTATTCCTTAAATGCTGGTGTTTCCCAGATCCCTACCACCCCCTCATATCCTCTCTGTTCACTCCATCTGGCCCAGTTCACATACATCCTTTGAGTACCTGCACATTGCCAGGCACCGAGGTAGTGACTTAATTGCTAGAAGGTATGAGAGCTGGCAGACCCTGGACACAGGGAGCTTTATATTATGCTGCACTTTTCCCCTCACTGTGCTTGTTTTGGTTTTCCTCCTTTCTCTCCACCTGTTAGTGCCTCTCTGAGACTTACTGCAATGCAGACAAGCACAGGATGTTTGGCCTTTGTAGGAGATCCCTTTTCTTACCTCCTGGTTGTCTTCAGATTTGATTAATTACAACTTTGTTGCTGGAGACATTTTCTCCAAAAGTTTATTTCTCTCTTTTACCTTCTTTCTCCAGGTCCCACTCAGAGGTAAAGGTGTTCTACAATACCCAGTCATACCTTATTTGAAACAGATGCTCTGTTTTATGAAATAGAATAAAAATAAGAAATTGTTGTTTGGCCAGGCACAGTGGCTCACGCTTGTAATCCTAGCATTTTGGGAAGCCAAGGCAGGAGGATTGCTTGAGGCCAGAAGTTCAAGACCAGCCTGAGCAAGAGCAAAACCCCATCTCTATGAAAAACAGAAAAATTAGTTGGGCATGGTTTTCGTGCCTGTAGTCCCTGCTACTCGGGAGGCTGAGGCATCAGAATCGCTTGAGCCCGGGAGTTTGAGGTTGCAGTGAGCTATGATGATGCCACTGCACTCTAGTGTGGGCTACCAATGGAGACCCTATCTCAAAAAAATAAAAATCAAAAAATTCAAAAAAGTAGAGATGAGTTTAAAACAAAGTGCTCTTGTTAAATTGAAGCCAACAACAAATTGTCCTATGAACAGTGTTCAGTGAAATTTGGAATTCAAAATTAAGCCAAGGGGAAAAAAGGCAACATAAATCTAAACAATCATATCTTTGAGTACTCATATCAGTTTTTGGATTGTGGCTGCTTTAATTAATATTGTCTTATACTACTTTAATTCTTAATATTGTGTTGTTAAAAGTCAAATGTGAGCAAAAATATAAGCCTGAATTTTTAGTAATATTAGAATTGCCATAGGGAATTGTTTATTTGGCAGGTTAAAATGGTTACTTTCCAGATGTTTTAAGTGTTTATATCCCAGTGCCTTCCAGTATTTTTATGAGCTGAAAAAAAATTTTTTTAATCACAATGATCCTACAAACATCTAAGAAAAGTATACAGTGTGGTATTAAATATTAAAAGTTTTCCTTTGCTCTTCTTAGACTTATAAAGCCTTTCTCCCTGCTATGATTGCTAATGACCATGGACATTTAGTTTGCATTTCAAGTTCAGCTGGATTAGTTGGAGTAAATATGCTGGCAGGTAAGAGAAAGGTAGTACGTTACAATTGCAAAATTCCTTATAACCTTAACTTACATAATAGCTCTTAATAATAAGCATTGACTTGATGCAGATAATAAGCTAAGAAGTATAGTCAATAAGACTATATTGAGAATTTCATTGTGCAGCAAAACTGCCCATCAGATACACTTACATGAAGTTGGATGATGTCCCTTGGAATCATTAGGTCTTATGTAATCCTCTGGGTTTAAAAGAGAGAAAAAGAGGCCTCCATAATAGATTTTCTTGCATAAGAGATCGACACAAGAACTGTCCCCCAAGCTTCACCTGGCACTGCTACCAGGATATTAGGGAGAACCACACTGCCTTCTCCTGAAGTTTCCCTGAAGAGATCTTCTCTGCTGTGAATTTGGAGAAAGTATCTTCACCTCAAGAAACCTAAAATTAACCTCTTTGCTTTTCCACTGGTTGAAGGCCTGCAGGAAGTGGTGGTCATTTTCATCTCCCTTGCAAACAGCCAGCTGACTTAATAGCAGTGGTGAGGCAAAGAAATCCACCGAGATCCTCAGCCGAGGAGACCCACCCCAGGAGCTGGCTCTAGGAGGAGCAGAAACCTTGACCTTAACTACCAGGGCATCCCCTAGAACAAATGTCCTGCATCCTGGCTTGCTCAGATTGCAGTGACTCATTCAACACACTGTAGCAGCAACACTCAGATAGCAGATGCTTAGCAAATGGGACGGTTTGCCGAATGGATGCTTCCTAATGCTTTTGAGCTAAGTGGCTTAGTTCAGGATTCACAAAACTAGTCTTAGCTCACTATGTCTGTTACATGAATAGGTTTTTCAGAGTGACCAGTTACCCAAAATATCACCAGTCTATCCCCCTTAAATCCTGGACTTCCTTTCCTCTCTCCGTCTTAGAACTTATCAGGTGCTGTTAGTGCCCTTCTCTTGTATGTCTGACAATTCACAGGCCTTTGAAATCATACAAGCATCTTTACCGCTGCCATCAGTCCTTTTTCAGACTCAATATTTCTATCTTCAGATACAAGACTCTCGCACCCCCAGCTCACCTTAGAAACAAGTGTAAGCCTTTTGTTCTCCCACCAGGTGGGCCTCAGCTCCCGTGCATAAGAGGTACCAGGGGTGCTAGTTTAGAGTGCACATTCCCTGGGTCGTGGACCATATCTGTTCATCAGCCTCTCAGGGGCAGAGGGGCTCAGGGAGCTTCTACCAGGTGACCCAGATGATTCTGGAAACTGTTCTGGATCCTCCTCTCCCCTTCTCTGCCTGTAACCTCTGCCCCACCGTCTGGGCAGTGCTGGGGCTAGACAGCCCCCTGCCTGGCACTTGTAACCTGGATCTTGCCAGTTGTAGCATTAATAACTGCACCACAGCATAGCAAGTAAGTACGCCTCTTCTGACTGTGTGAGGCCAAAAAAGGCACTAATTCACCTAAATGCCATTTCTTCTCCAAATCTTTTCACTCAGTGAACGCTATACTCAGGTGTGTTTTTGAAGCATGTGTGATTAAAGACAGCTCAAAGCAGACATAAATGCCACTTTCCAGTTCCCTCTTCCCTGCATTTTTAAGGTATTTAAGAGGCGGAGGTTGAGGCTACCAAGTCCTTTGTTTTTGGGGGGGGGGTTGTTTGTTTGTTTTCTGGAAGTGGAAGAAAGAGTTACAGTTGGAAGAAAACTTAATCTGAGAATCGTGATCCATGCTAACCTCTCTTGCCTAGATTCCTACACTGCTTAGTGTTTTATTTCTTCTCTTGTATGTCTTCATGCCCCAATGATGATGCAGTTTTTTGAGACAGGGGCTGGACACACATCTTGTGCCCCATGTGTTAATAACAGCTAGCACCGGGGCTGCCGATTCAGTGATTTTGTAAGTGTGGCCTGTAGGAGCATCTCTGCAGCCCTTCTTTTTTTTTTTTTTTTTTTTTTTATTTCAGCGTATTATGGAGGCACAAATTTTAAGGTTTCAAATAATGCCCTTCCCTCCCTCCCCCCACAAGTCTGAGTTTCCAGCGTGACCTTCCCCCAGATGATGCACATCTCACTCATTATGTATGTATACACCCACCCCCTGCCCACCTGCCCAATACCCTATTACTGCAGTACCTATGTGTCCACTCAGGTGCTGCTCAGTTAATACCAGTTTGCTGGTGAGTATATGTAGTGCTTGTTTTTCCATTCTTGGGATACTTCACTTAGTAGTATGGGTTCCAGCTCTAACCAGGAAAATATAAGATGTGCTATGTCACCATTGTTTCTTAGAGCTGAATAGTACTCCATGGTATACATATACCACATTTTATTAATCCACTCTTGGATTGATGGGCAATTGTTTCCACAGCTTTGCAATTATAAATTGTGCTGCTATAAACATTCAAGTGCAGGTGTCTTTTTTGTAGAGTGTCATTGGATCTTTTGGGTAGATGCCCAGTAATGGGATTTCTGGATCAAATGGTAGATCCACTTGTATCGCTTTAAGGTATCTCCATATTGCTTTCCACAGAGGTTGAACTAGTTTGCAGTCCCACCAGCAGTGTAGGAGTGTTCCTCTCTCTCCGCAACCACACCAGCATTTCTTGTTTGGAGATTTTTTGATAAAGGCCATTCTCACTGGGGTTAAGTGATATCTCATTGTGGTTTTGATTTGCATTTCCCTGATGATTAGAGATGTTGAGCATTTTTTCATATGTTTGTTGGCCATTCTTCTGTCTTCTTTAGAAAAGTTTCTGTTCAAGTCCTTTGCCCACTTTTTAATGGGGTTATTTGATTTTTTCTTCCTGATTTTCGTGAGTTCTAAGTATATTCTAGTTATCAGCCCCTTATCAGATGTGTAGGATGCGAAAATTTTCTCCCATTCTGTAGGTTGTCTGTTTACTTTCATGACTCTTTCTTTGGCTGTGCAGAAACTTTTTAGTTTGATCATGTCCCATTTATTTTTGTTGCTGCTGTGATTGCCTTTGGGGTCTTCAGCCCTTCTTATGCTGGGAGCCACCTGGTCCTTACCAGGTGAACTGCAGTTGGCCATATCCTTTCCCACTCACTGCTCACGCCTTCCAGTGGGAGTAGACCAAGATTATAAAAGGGAGAACTCACATGGTTGTCACATTCTGTGTTGCTGTTAGTGTTATGAGTGAACCTTAATGGAATGCCATTTTAAAACTTGAGAATATACATTATCAGTGTTTGTCTTTTTCAGATTATTGTGCAAGTAAATTTGCAGCCTTTGGATTTGCTGAATCTGTATTTATAGAAACATTTGCTCAAAAACAAAAGGGAATCAAAACCACAATTGTGTGCCCATTTTTTATAAAAACTGGAATGTTTGAAGGTTGTACTACTGGGTAAGTAAGTCCTTTGATGGCAAAGCAAATACATTCTGAAAAATGATTGGCTGTCTATTTAACTTTGTTTTACCTGTTTTTTAAAGTTGTCTGAAAGACGGTTTTCTAGGGTCAGCATGATTTATAAATGGTTTCAGAATTCTTTCTTCGTATGTAAGATACTGAGTTGATTGCAAATGATTTATGAGGGTAGTGTCCACCCAGATACCCTGGCTCTGCTCTTCCATCTCTTGAGTCCTCCTGGCCACATCCCCTCCTGGCCACCCAGTCCCTTCTACCTTCTCTGATTGCATGAGGACTGGAAATCATTGAAGGATCACTGTCTTAGTCATATTAAAGGGGCTGCTGTAACAGAATCCCATACGCTCTGTGTCTTCACCAACAGGAACAACTTCTCACAGTTCTGGAGGCTGCAAGCCCAAGATCAAAGCACCCACAGGCTCTTCTCATAAGGGCACTAATCCCATTCGTGAGGGCCCCACCCTCATGATGTGGTTACCTTCCAAAGGCCCATCTCTAAATACCAACATGTTGGAAATTTGGGCTTCAGCATGTGAATTTTGGCAGGGGATGCAAACACTCAGTCCATAGCAGGCACAAATGCCCAATTCTCCATCTCAGGGAGATGGCAGGCAATGTCATCAACAGCTTGCTTTACAAACATTTAGAACATTTGTTTAATATGGTTTCACACGTATATATATTGTAACATCCATGTATTGATTAGAATCATAATTTTCCATTTCAAATTCTAGTTATATTATTACTCTCTGTGTTGATAATAAGGGAGTAAATATAAAAACAGATGAAATCTGGAAGGGAAAGAAATAAGTGATAATGTCTTAACAATGTTTTATCCCAAATTTTAAAAATCATTAATTAATTTTGGGGATTTTTGTGTGTGTGTGTGTGTTTTTAATGCCCTAGCTGTCCTTCTCTGTTGCCGATTCTGGACCCAGAATATGCAGTCAGAAAAATAGTGGATGCTATTCTGCAAGAACAGCTGTACTTGTACTTGCCAAAGTTTTTATACTTCATAGTGTTTTTAAAAAGGTAACAATATCAGCTTCTACTATTTCCCTACTGTGCCAATCAATAGTTTATTCCAAATCCCACCAGGAGGAGCCACTTTAAAAATATCTGTTACATTAACGAATTTTAAAAAGGAAAATCTCCTAAGCCCCACTGCGCCCATTGCTGATGCAATCGCACATGCGTGTGGCTGCTCCCGTGAGTCAAGAAAATAGGGCCGGACCCTTCCTGCCACCTTAGTATTGTATTGTTGTCAAAAAAAAGTGGATTTACTGAATGATATGGAAATATCAAAATGACTCCTTGTGCTCATCAGTCATCATGTTGGGATAGATGCTGCGTCGGTGCTTCCTCAAGTACAGGGCCCCACGGCAAGGCCTGAATTGCTTCGCAAGTGTGCGGTGTGGGCACAAAGGAAAGAGATGATACGTTTGAGCTGTGGGATGGTTAAAGTACATGAGGGGGAAAACTTAAAGGAAAACCAGCTCTTAAAAGCACAGGCAAGTATTGTTGCCCGTCTCCCCTGCCCCTCGATGGGTCTCAGTGCCGAGATGCATCAGCTGCGGGTTCTGACCACGGGCCGAGCTGCTGAAGCAGCTGCTGATGCTCTAGCCTGGGACTCCTAGTCTCACGCTGCTTCCCCCTAGGGCTTTCCGCTCTGCAAGAGGCACCTTCCATATGAACCACTCCTGCTGAGTTGAAATCTGTCTCATGTTAACGTTCTACGTGTAATTCCTTTTCTCTTGACAGTGACAATTATCCAGTTATTTGAACATAGATATTATACCTCATGTCCACCACAGGGCGGGCTAGCAGCCATTGCCCGTCCTGCGTACAAAAATTTCTGTTCCTGTTAGCTAATTATATCCACTTTATACAGTGAACCAAAAGTCATGCTTGCACCCTGTCACTTTAACAGGCTTCATCTGGCACAGAAGGGGTCCGTGTGGCTGACGGGGGCTATGTGGGCAGGGCAAAGGGTTTTTGACAAGCAATTTGAAATCTGGGTTTATGATCCCACTACTTACTGAGTCTATAACTCTGAGCATGCCCTTCATTCTTCAGGCCTCAGTTTATTCATTTATGATGTAGAGACAGTGTTTGTTACAGCTTGTGGATTTGTGCAATGCACTGTTTATTGGACAAGGTGTGTATTCACAGCACAGTGAGTACTTCTTGCCTGATAGCAGATTGTAGTAGAGTAATACTAACTTTGAGAACAGGGCACTTAATCTTTCTACTTTGAATAGTTGTGGAGGTTATATTTATTTTATGACATATTAGTTCTGGGCCACATTTTGAGAGGGGGCTAGATAGTTCCTGAGAGGGCTACAGGAAACAGGAAGAGGCTCACTGAAGGAGATCACATCAAACACTCCTTCAAACATTCATTCAACGAACATTAATAGGGTGCTGTGTGTATGTCATGGCATTGCCCACCGTTCTAGGATCTGGGGTTACAGCAAAAAATAAGACAGACAACAGTCCCTACCCTTGTGGAAATTATCTTCTTGGTGGGTAGGTGATAAGGAGGAAATAAAAAAGTAAAGTAAAACATAAGATTGTAAGTGCTGCAAAGAAATATAAAGTGAGAAAAGGGAGTGGTGGGTAGAGGGCTGTAAGCTGAGATTTAATTTTAAGTATGGTGTTTAGGGCAGGGGGCTGTCTCGCCAAGAAGGTAACACCTGACCAGTGCCCTGAAGTTGGGAAGGGCACGAACCACCTGGAAATGCTTGGGTGCCAAACAGGGTCAGTGAGCACAGGGTCCTTTTCCTTACCACCCCCCCCAAGAGCACGTCCCAGCTTTCCTGTGCCTGCTCACTCCTTGCTCTGGGGTGTTGAATTTCAAGGTCAGTGGGTCAGAGCACCCCGTCAGGATGGTGATCCTGTGTGTATGTGGCTTGCAGAGGAGCACGTCAAGGTGGAGAAGCACAGAATCTTAGTGCAGTCTTGCTAAAGGTGGAAGGAGCTGTTGCATCTCATCCTCACAGTAGTCCCAGAAAGAAAGGTCTACGACTTCATTTTATGCTTGGGGAAACTGAGGCCTGCAAGCTAAGTCAGTTGCCCGAGCTGGCCTTGCAAATGACAGAGCCAGGATTCCAGCAGGTCTGTCTGCTTCCAGAGCCTGCCTCTATTCCACAGGACTTCACTGCCCCTTCTCTGGCATAATACAGTGTAGGGACACTTTGGAAACTTAAATGCAAAGTGAATTGAATAACGCCAGAGCTATCCAGGCCCTGGGCAAGCGTCCTCCCATATCGTGGACAAGGGCCGGATGACCCTGAGTTGGGTAGCACTAAGACAGTATAGCATGTGCGTGAGGGAATGACTTTATCTGCAACAAGAGGTGACACTGGCTTCAGCAGAGCTGGTAAAGATACTCTCACGAATGATTACCAAGAAAGTTTACTCTTGTGTTCTCTTTAGCTTCTTGCCGGTCAAGACAGGACTGCTCATAGCTGACTATCTGGGCATCTTTCATGTAATGGATGGTTTCTCGGGCCAAAAGAAGAAACAATAAAGACCAACTCTAAGGCTGATGTCATCTGATACTTGAAGTTACACATGCCTGTTTCAATGAAGAAAAGTATTTTTGTCCAACAGTAGAATATATCTAGGGTCCACAAGTACCATTCTTATTGTTATCTGTACTAGAATTTTCAACCAATACTTTTAAAAATAATGTTGCTATCACCTTTTATGTTGATTTTTGATTTTTGGTTTTTTCCCCCCAAAAAAGGAGACCCATTGTTGTCATTTCCATTAGTAACTGATGTGAGAGAGAGAAGCATCTCTCCTGGGCTGCCCTGAGCTTGGTCACTGGGGCTGCGGCAAAGGAGCAGGTGGTGGGAGGTAGCCCCTCTGGGAGCCTGGGGGGGCCCGCTCTGGGAGCGCTTGGGGGGGAGCCGCTCTGGAACGCGGCTGGGGGGAGCCTCTCTGGGAAGCGGCTGGGGGTGGGGGAGACCGCTCTAGGGAGCGGCTGGGGGAAGAGCCCATCTGGGGAGCGCTGGGGAAGAGCCCACTCTGGGGAGCGGCTGGGGGGAGCCGCCTGGGAGCGCTGCGGGGACCGCTCTGGGGAGTGGCTGGGGGGAGAGCCGCTCTGGGAGCGTGGGGGAGTGGGGGAAGCCGCTCTGGGGAGCGGCTGGGGAGAGCCCATCTGGGAGCGCTGGGGGGGATCACGCGGGGGCGCCTGGGGGGGGGGGGCGGGTGGGAGCCGCTCTGGGGCGCAGGATGAGGACACGTGGGGCAGGCTGGGGTGGGAGCCCGCTCGGGGACGGCTGGGGTGAGGAGCACGTGGGGGCACCGGATGGGTGGGGACCCGCCTGGACGGCCGGGTGAGGAGCACGTGGGCACCGCTGGGGTGGGGAGCCGCTCTGGGAGCGGCCGGGTGAGGCACTGGGCACCGGCTGGGTGGACCGCTCGGGGAGCGGCTGGGTGAGGAGCCACGTGGGCCCGCTGGGGGTGGGGGGACGCTCTGGGACGGGCTGGGGGTGAGGAGCACGCTGGGGGCACCGGCGGGTGGGGAGCGCTCTGGAGCGGCTGGGGGTAGAGCCGTGGGGGACCGGCTGGGGGTGGGGGAGCCACTCTGGAGAGCTGCTGGGGGTGAGGAGCACGTGGGGGGCCGGCTGGGGGGGGGGAGCCCACTCTGGGGAGCGGCTGGGGGTGAGGAGCACGTGGGGGGCGCCCGGCTGGGGTGGGGGGAGCCCACTCTGGGGAGCGGCTGGGGTGAGGAGCACTGGGGGGCGCCCGGCTGGGCTGCCCTCCCTGCCCTGCTCTGAGCACCACCTATAGCACCTAGTGCGGACAGGAGCTGCCTCCTGTGCCCTTTCTCCAAAGCAGCTACACGGAACGTCCTTCCGAGGGCCCGGGGTACTCGGACCAAGTGCCAGTCTGGCTCAAGGCCCGTGGGCGCCTCTCTGGGCATTCCCCGCGTGACCCACGTCAGCGGCGATCCCAGACCAAACCTAAATAGCATCGCTGTTTCTCCCAGACAAGAGCAAAGCACAGTTGTTTCTTACTATGAATATGAAATTCTACCAAGTTAGACTTACTGCTACCTATTAATCCAAAAGCATGATCAAGTGGCTAATTTGAAGTGTTTAACTTGGTATTTCAAGCTGGGATTCAGACTGAGGTATTTTTCCACAGAATGGGCAATTTTATGCATTTGTATTCATCAGTGCTGCCCTCACTTCACATCTATTGTATTCTTACAGCTTAATCAACTGGCAAAGTGCTTTCATGCTTTGGAGATTAACTATAAAAGCAAGATTAAGAAAAATATGTTAATTATCATATCCCTGGAAGTCCTTCCCAGGCTGGTGGGGCACCCGTCTTGCCAGAGAAATGCAGCCTTTGTCCCTTGTCTTCTTGGGGGAGGAGAGGTACCTTGGGAGACCCTGTAAGAGTCAAAGGAATTAAGAGCTTGATTTTTACTTTTATTCCAAAATGTTAAAGGGGTAGAAATTTTTTTGTTACATAGATACCTTGTATAATTTGAAATTTAAAAAAAAGAGAGAGAACAAAAGCCAGACAAATAGAAGATGGATAAAAATGAAAGAACTGAGGAATGGAAAAAATAAAACAAACAAAAAAGATTTGAGAGTTTGACTATCTTGAGGGTAAGATGCCCCGAGAGGGGCAAGAGTCTCGGGTGTGGCATCCAACCGCAGAGAACTGGTCTACCTTGGGCAGCTCGCACCACCTTGAAACCTCTCCTGTATTTCCTTCCCATTCAGAAAGCCTTTTGTAAAAAGTTGTTTTATGATAATAACTAATATTTATTGTGCCTGGCACCACACTGAGCGCTTTACAACATTATTTTATTAAACAAGAATACCACATCATCACTCAGAGAATGACATTACTTGGTGTATGCCAAAGGGTGAAGGCGTTTGTTTCCCAGTGCCGTCTCACTCAACTGTAAATGTGTGCTGACAGAATCAAAAGGCCCTCTCAGGCTAACCCTCTGATGTTCCAAATCCCTGGTTAACAAGGTTAATTAGGAGAGAAGCACAATATTGTTCCTATATTACAATTCCAGGAGCGTATATTCAGGGCCCTGCCTGTTTACTTGAAGAATAAAGAAGAGAGTCTTGGGGGATTCCATGAAACAAAGGTCGGGGCGCAGTGGGCATCCACCACGTCATGACGGCGTCGTGAGCGGCAATTATTGCTAATTGGAGTGCATCCTGGCCAGACTACACCAAAGGCCTCAAATTCAACTGTGGTTTTACACTACCCATAAAATTATCTAAACAAATTCAGATTTACTTGAGGCGCTTCTATGAGAAGAGACCACATATAAATTAGAGGATTGGAGAAGGTAATAAATAACAAGGTGATTTAATATTAGCCCCCGAGGAGCGAGTGTTCTCAGCATGTGTTTTATACCCATTTCCATCTGAAATTTAGTGCTAATGAGGCCCCACACCTAAGCAAGCCTGGGGAAGGAGAGGGGCTGCTGGACCAGGGCTGTGCCCCAGGACAGGGACTCTGCCCTCCAGGACACTCCTGTCCACACCCTGGACTCCCCGTGCTGCTCAGAAACTGAGAAGGAGTTCTGAGCATGTGGTGTGTGAGGGAGACTACATCTTTCCAATAAATGTCTTCTTTAATTTTTATTTATTTTTAAAAAAAAGGGGGGGAGTTTGGTAAAAATGTGTGGCCACACAATTTTTTTTTTTTGGTATGGTTTTACATTGTGATTCTGTCTCAGTCAGTTCAGGCTGCCATAACAAAATACCACAAACTGGATGGTTTAAACAACGGAATTTATTTATCACAATTCTGGAAGCTGGAAGTCCAAGATCAAGGTGCCGACTGATTCATTTCTGGTGGGGACTCCTCCTGGCTTGTGGATAACCGACTTCTCGCTGTGTCCTTCTGTGGCCTTTCCTCGGGGTGTGTGGAGAGAGAGAAAGATCCCTCTCCATCTTCTAAGGACACCATCCCATCACGAGGGCCCCACTCTTTTGACCTCATCTAACCCTAATTACCTCCTGAAACCCCCACCTCCTAATACAAGTGAGGTTAGGGCTTCAGCATATAGATTTGAGGGGGACACGAACATGCAGTCCATAATAGATGCCAAGATAGGAAAGGGCTACCCAGGCCACACGTGACCTGCACACTCAGAGTCCTCATGCCAAGATGATCATAGTCTATCAAACGAAATCATTTAGAATCTCGGATGCAGAGTGAATTGGAGATCCTTGAAAAACCCGAATTCCAACCTCTGAGTGTCAGCACTTGAGAAAATTATGACTGAAAATTTGGACACCAGCGAAAAACTGATATGAGGCAACATATCGAGTGCAGAGCAGCTCTGTGAAGAGAACATGGGGGTGCGGACACCCTCAACATGTGCAGACTAGTGACCTGTTCTGGGTTTATCCCGGTATCCCCAGCCCACAGACCTTCCAGGCTACTGAACGATCTCCCTTCGCTGTCGGTGAGCAAACACGCCGGGCCGTGGAGGAGCCTCTGCTCGGCATCCTTTCTTTCCCCCGTAGCGTTGCTGCGTAGTGGAAACCAAAGCAACAGCAGGTGCAGCAGCCATGGGAGCTCGCCCCTTGGGGAGGCTGCTTGGGAGGGAGCAAGTGCAGAAGGCTCTGTCACACATGCCGAACGGTCTCTGCACACCTGGGTGCCCTCGGTGACGTCAGCAACACCTGAGCAGCGAGGGGAGCGGGGATTGAGGCAGCTGATCCCGTGCCGTCAGCCAGCGCATGGTTGGCACTCCTCGGATCTGTGCTTGCCGTTGCACTTTACAAAGGCTAGCGGTGAGATGCACCGGCCCTGCCCACAAAGCCAATGGGCCGTCACCCCCTTCTGTGGGTCTGCTTCCTTCTCCCCTGGCCGTGGTGGCCTTTCAACCGTCCTTGTAAAGCCCACGTAACACCGGCACCTGTCTTTTATTAGTGTCATTCTCTGGAGAATATCGAAGCTGTGAAGTACTAACTCAGCTCCTCAGACTGACACCTTCGAAGGCCTCGATTTCTACCTCCGCCTCCTTGCTCTCCCTCGGCTTGGGGGGAGCAGTGCGGCTGCTCAGGCTGCCCCTGCAGCGGTGTCTCGGGCTTTGCCAGGGGTGCCCTCCCTCCTGTCTCTCCCTCTCCAGCCAGAGCTGCTCCCCTGAACCCCATCAACACACGAGAGACTATGTGGAACTCAAAACTAAATAGACTCTATGGAAACCTCCCTCCCACATCTCCTCGCCCTCCATGAGTGACACCACTTAAAATGCAGCCTAGGGTCATCTGTCCACCTCCTCGGCTCGCGCTGGAGCCTGAGCCGTCCAGCTTCCATGGCCACCACATTGCAGCGACTTTTGTGAAAAGATCCCCAGGGATTTTATTCCTCACTATATTTTACTTCTCATGACTAACAGTATTCATCTCTCAGCCCTTCGTCCTGGTGACACCTCTGCCTACTGGCCTCTTCTCCTTGAATTGTCCTCGTTCTTCAGGTTCTATCCTTGGATTTCTCTATGAATTCTTCTGGGGGCTCTTGCCCCTGCCCATTGCTCCTCCACACTGTCCAAGCCAGACACCCAGGTGTATGGTTCGACTTTTACTTTTACTTTGTCTCTCACCTCCCTGTCCAGTTAGCAGCCAATCCAGTCTGCTCTGCCTCCTGATCTCACCAGCCCGTTTCCCTCACTGCGGTTGCCGTATTCAGGCTTTTGCCATCTGTTCCCGCTGGGGCAGTAGTTTCCCAGCTGGTCTTTCTGCATCAAGGCTGCTCCCTCTGTTAGGATTACA